ACTTATTGAGAGCTACAAGGGATAGGGAGAAGAGGAGAGCCATGATCGCCTACGTCCTTAAAGGACATGGCACATAAAAAGAAAGAAAGAAAGACAATAATCAATCTGGCATTCAATTGTAGTAAGATAAGAAGGAACGAAATTGCCCATGCTAGACTTCGCTATAGGAGACATACACGCCATTCACCAACATCTCGATAGCCGCCATCTTGTATGCCATGTCGAGAACCATACACGATTGTACACATATTGATAATCTTTAGCGACTCCCAACACGAGCCAAGTACTATAGAGAAGATAAACTAAATGGACTGTTCGAAAACACTGAACCAAACTTCATCTAGCGCAAGTAAAGTTGGTTCTCTGTGCCGCGCCAGAAAGTATTTCTCGTCTGAATCCATCCTTCAAATCTAATAAATAAACCATTCGCCCTTTTTTTTTAAATTATTACCAGCAATAGAATTTTGAAGGAAATATATTACCAGAAACAGATTTTTGACAAAACAAAATATTACCAGCAATAAAAATTTTTGTCGGCATTAAATAACCCATTGAGGTTGATATGCCGTTAAAGAAAATAAACCAAATGAATCTAAGCCACAGAATACATCTTCTATTCATACGAATCTATCCTAAAACAATAACTCATTGAGGATGATATGCCGTTAAACAAAATAAACCAAACCAAACTTAAAACAGTCTGTTAGACCTGATTTGTCCACTTTACTCAACACTGCTTTGAGATCTGAAAAAAATTTTTGGGTAACATCAGTATCTTTTAAATTAGCATTGAAAATTTCCCCAGACACTTGATTGTTTTTTTTTTTCTTTTAATGATGGGATAATAGTTCCTGCAATTTTGAAACGTAACTTTTCTATGACAATCCCTCTCTAATGACCTCGATTTTGTCGGTTTAAACTTCATTCATGCCCAGGTCATTATTTTTTTCTAACCCTTACAATACCCACCGACATCCAAGGACAGTGGATGTAGTTACTGTCAGGTCATCCATATATGCATGAATTGGGGTTTGTCGTACTTCGTTTCTCATCACTGGACCTCGACACACAACCTCTGTTCATTTTACTAACATGTTCATTGTTAGGGTAAATAATATTACTGAGATTTTACATCCAGTTATAATTCCCCTTTTTAGCCGATGCCAATCGGAAGATATCAATCAGATTCTAATTTATGGCTGATCTCTTTAAGCATGTATTCTTTGTATTACGTATATGTCACATTCTTTAAGAATGGTTTCAAAGAAAGATGGCGAGATAATGTAATGTTTTAGGCGTGTGTTTCTAGTTAGTAATAATGCCGTTATTAAGTTTTCTAAGTATTTTCACCTGAAAGAATTATGTTCTTTTTTTAATAAGCTGGCATAAGTGGACACAAACTTACATAGACATAGAATTATTTCCGGTTTTAATGCACGTGACTCGTGTCTGACCAATAAGAACTGATCTAATCTGTCTTTTTGTCTATTTTCTCTCAATCTCTGACGAAGCTTTAAAAAAAGTGAAACACCTTAGATTGATAAATGTTTCCTATTTGTTCTTTATTTTATCATCCTGTCGGATTCCGATCTATATTTCATCTGCATTTGAAGTTATATATATATATATATATATATATATATATATATATATTTGTGTGTGTGTGTGTGTGTGTGTGTGTGTGTGACAGAAACTCTGGAATTTTATTATTTCTGGTTTTAATGCACGTGACACGTGTCTGACCAATGAGAACTAATCCAATCTGTCTTTTTGCCTGTTTTTTTCTCAATCTCTGACGAAGCCTTAATGAAAACATGTCAGATTATATACGTTTCTTATTTGTTCTTTATTCTATCATATATATATATATATATATATATTATGAAATGGACAAAATCCGACTATATGACGGTTCCGTATAGCATACAGGTTCGATTCCTGTGGTAGGACGCATATTTGCTATGACAATTTCTCGCATATTCAGGCCGGTAAATGTTGTTAATACTGTTTATTATAAACAGAGCCTTTACTTAAATATTTTTTATCTATAATGTCTTTATATATATATATATATATTATATGTGTGTGTGTGTGTGTGTGCGTGTGTGTGTGTCACAATTATTTATTATTAATGTTAGGACACAGGTTCGATTCCTGTTGGAGAACGCATATTTTCTACGAAATTTTCTAGAACATTCAGGCCGGTAAATGTAATTTATACTGTTTATTCAAAAAACAGAGCATTTACTTCAATGAATATCTAATAAAATAACGTATAAACAGAAAATATATTAAATAGATGTTGGACTGACTGCATTTCATAGTACGTTGTCAATGTTTACGTTAAGGTACATTTCGTGAGCAGATGCGATCATTCGGGAGAGATCGTCGAAGATTTGGTGTTTAAAAACAGTAATTTGGACTTTTCTAACCAGACCATTCTCTATAGTTGAGTGGTATAGCACATTAGATCAATTGACGGTTCCGTCTAGGACACAGGTTCGATTTTCAAGCCGGTAAATGTAATTAATAATGTTTATCTAAAAAAATATATGTATGTATATATTTTAAATAAAGACAGACCACTTTAAGGTTCCATGTAATAAATTATTTTACCACATCCCTTTTAAAAGGACTGCGGATCATCAGACTTTACTTCCAAACAAAAAATGAAAAGAAAATTTACACATTTTTGACGGGCCGTATTAAACATATGTAAATTAACGAAGTGATGAAGTGAGGGGGGGAGAGAGAAGACATGAGTGAGTTAGCAGATATTGACACATTTAAATGGTTAACTTAACGGAAGTAATATATTGATATCGAAGGGGTAGAGAAGAAAAAACCCATAGAGAGAAAAAGAGAGATGTCACTAATTTTCTTTGTAAAAACAAGGCTAGAAATAGACGCTGTTATTTTGCGTTACTTTGAAAGTGTTATTTTGGGGGTTCATAAAGATTATAATGTTTGATATAAATTTGAATGTCTCTAGACTGTCTACAAATAATTTAATTTGATGTTCGTTAGTGATTTAAATTTTTTAAATTTTGGGGATTTTCTAAGAAATAGTCGATTAGAAAAATATTGAAATGTAATTGTCATCTTTGATAATGGCTTATGTAAGCCGAAAGATTAAATAGGATTAAAACATGTATCAATATGGTGATTACCTTTCGTCCTTCAATGATAATCTTATTAAGCTTATCAGACAATATGAACTTACTTAAAATAAATAGACAAAACGTGCCTATATTATTTAATGAAACATGCATCAATATATATATATATATTCGACTCTCCAGTCAAATTCGACGTATGAGGGTCAAGCAGATCAGTTCCTAGGAAACCGACGGCCCGACACCAGCACATGAGATTTAATTATAGTGGTGAAGGTTTCGTGCAGGAACATCCACACTTTTTGAAGGGTCCAATACAGAGACCTGGTGCACTTGGTCCTCAAACAACCCACCGCAGGTTTTGAATTCAGAGTAGTCCTTCTCCTAGACCAGTTGCCATCCAAGGCTATAGAACCCAGTCTGTCCAGCTATTTACCTATAGCTGGAGAGAAAAGAAGAGAATTCACACCTTTCCCAAGGATATTAGCACGTAAGTGAATATAATGGATTCGACTGAATATATATATATATATATATATATATATATATATATATATATATATATATATATATATTAAAATAATTAGAAAAGAACAGTAAGATTTATAATCCGGTGTTCTTATTAATTATTTTTAAATATATATATTATAATATTATTCTTTAAAATATTCTAAATAATAATAATAATATTCTAATATTATGCTATACTTCGTATCGAGCACTTTTAAAAAAAAATAAATGCTAAATAATTGTGGATTGTTAATCTGACTATTCTTTCTTTTTATTTTATTTTCTTGTTTATTTGTTATTTTTATTTGACACCCATTCATATATATATATATAATTATTTATTTAAAAATATGTTCCAACGCTACGTAAGAGTTCTCCTGTTTCAAAACAAGAGCCGAAAACTTTAATATGATTATTTGAATTAAATTGAATTAAAGTACCAAGCACTGTTCCATCTTCAAGCGAAATTTTTTTTGAATAACTAATTCCTGAAATTTACGCGTTTTATAAGCATATTCATTATTAAAATTAAAATTACTATGGTAACGGCTAGAACAATTGTCTAAAGAAAAGGGGCGTAAGGGTTAATAATTTGTATCAATACCTCAGTTACATTCAAAGAGGTCAAGTCAGGGATTATTTGGATTATTTACCTAACGAGTTCTTTCCTATTTTCTATATATTTTTACACACACACACACACACACACATATATATATATATATATATATATATATATATATATATATATATATATATATATATATATATGATTTGTGTGTCCTTCTATGTGTGTCAATTCTGGTGGTGATTATTATTTTTCTAATTATATCTTGGTGTTCATGCGTGTACTTGTGTGGTCGCTTGCATATTTCTCGGGCGTTTACATTAAACATATATTGAACCTCGTAAAACTTACAATGAAAACGAGTGTCGTCGGTGTTGGGTCTCGTGATTACACAGACCGCTTACTCTAAGGCCACAAGTGGCGGTTAAACGAGCCAGAAAATTTATCCGGTATCCATTTCTCTTCTTGTAAGTCGTCCTTCAAAACAGGCCTGGACACACTTCCACTTCACGGCCATTGTCACACCAGTCAACGTCACGCAGTTTTGCACCTCAACTGTTCGTCAAGGCTTCTCAACAAACAAACGGCAACGACACATCTTCTCTTAATCTCTTTTTTATTCAGAGAACTTTTACGAACTTTCACGAACTTTCACGAACATTTCACGAATATTCACGCTCTATCTACCAACCTTTTGTGTCCATTTTCCTTTTAGTCCAACAATTTTCACTTTACATTTTCTGGCATTTATTGCCTTTTTTGTTCTTTTTTCTTTTCTTTTCTGACTTCTTATCATTCTTCGTTTCATGTTGTTTTATTATTTCTCTCATGATTTTCCTTCTTTGCTGTTTATTCAGCCTTTTTTTAAAATCATTTTGATTAATGCGTTATTGCTTTGGGGCTATTTTCATATTTCCTTTCTCGCTTTCTTATCTCGCTTTTTCTTTCTTTGTTTTCTTTTCTTTCTTTTTTCTTTTCCTTTCTTTTTCCTTCTTTTCCAACATTTTATTTTTTCTTCCTCATTTTACATTTTCTTTTTTCTTTCGTTCTTTCTTTCTTTCTTTCTTTCTTTCTTATATCACATTCTTTTTTCTTGCATTTTCTTTCTTTCTTTAGTTATAAATTCTGCCTTTCTCTTTTCACATTTTCTTTCTTTTTCTTTCTTTTCTTACAGATTCATACATTTTCTTACACATCTTACTTTTCGTTTTTTAATGATCTCTCATTTCGTTTTTTTCTGTCGCATCTCATAGTTTTTCGCATTCTCTTTCTTTCTTTCTTTCTTTCTTTCTTTCTTTCTTTCTTTCTTTCTTTCAGTGGATTCCAAAGGACGAAAAGAGCTTTCTTACTCTCACTGCTCCTCTCTCTGTCTCTTTCTTTTTCTTTCTTTCTTTCTTTCTTTCTTTCTTTCTTTCTTTCTTTCTTTCTTTCTTTCTTTCAGTGGATTCCAAAGGACGAAAAGAGCTTTCTTACTCTCACTGCTCCTCTCTCTCTGTCTCTTTCTTTCTTTCTTTCTTTCTTTCTTTCTTTCTTTCTTTCTTTCTTTCTTTCTTTCAGTGGATTCCAAAGGACGAAAAGAGCTTTCTTACTCTCACTGCTCCTCTCTCTCTGTCTCTTTCTTTCTTTCTTTCTTTCTTTCTTTCTTTCTTTCTTTCTTTCTTTCTTTCTTTCTTTCTTTCTTTCTTTCAGTGGATTCCAAAGGACGAAAAGAGCTTTCTTACTCTCACTGCTCCTCTCTCTCTGTCTCTTTCTTTCTTTCTTTCTTTCTTTCTTTCTTTCTTTCTTTCTTTCTTTCTTTCTTTCTTTCTGTACACATATTCTCTCTTATTTGACATTTGATTTTTTCTGTCTTTTTCATTTACAATCATTTTATTTCTTTTTCTTACGCGTTGGATCTTCCATTTTTCTTTTCTTTCTTTTCTTTTCTTATAGTTCATTTCGTTCTTCCTTTCTGTGAAATAACACATATCTATCTTTCTTTTTTTCAATTTTAATTAATATTAAGATTTTTTTATCAAGATTTTTATATATTTCTTTTCTATATAGAACTTATATTCGTTTCCCATTTATCCTTGTCTGATTCACCAATTTCTCACTAATTTTATCTTTTGAGATATATATATATATATATATATATATATATATATATATTAGTGAATGTACATAATATCCAAAGAATATCAAACAATATTTAATTTCATATATATATATATATATATATATATATATATATATATAGTGAATGTACATAATATCCAAAGAATATCAAACAATATTTAATTTCATATATATATATATATATATATATATATATATATATACATTAGTGAATGTACATAATATCCAAAGAATATCAAACAATATTTAATTTCATATATATATATATATATATATATATATATATATATATATATATATTAGTGAATGTACATAATATCCAACGTCAATAGCATGACTCAGATGAGTTTCATACACTTCTTGTAAACTTCAGGAGCGGAACAAAACCATACCAATATATATATATATATATATATATATATATATATATATATATATATATATATATATATATAATAAAGTTTCATTAAAGTAGACCGACATGGTACTGCGAATAAGCTTTTATTCATTTTTCTTGTATTCCTATAAGTGTTTTTCGCAATAACTTGTCAGTTGTCTTTAATGAAACGTGTATAAAACAGGGCATGCTGCACAAATACGCCATGATATATATATATATATATATATATATATATATATATATATATATTTGTGTGTGTGTGTGTGTGTGTGTGTGTGTGTGTGTGTGTAACTAATCCAACCACATCATCTAAATACTCAAAATATTATCTATAAAACTAAAACTAAAACTAAAACTAAAAGTAAGAAATTCAAATCAAAACATACATCTCTCGGCAAAACACCATGGACTCTCCCACTTTCTCAGTTTATGTATATATATATATATATATATATATATATATACTATTTTTATTATAAGAGATTAAGGAAATTATAAATAAAGTGTTACCTCTTTTCCGAAAGTTAAAATTAGGTCACATAAGATCAGAATTAAAATTAGACTTGTGGGTATGTCTTGATTAATCAATGAAATGTCACAACTACGCTAAATAGAATAGGAAGCTCAGAGAGGGGAGGGGGGAGTGAGTTGTCTTTTCATGTCATGATGAACCGGAACATAGACAGGACATCATTGACGATTGCGGAAAATATGTAAAAAGTATAAGAGATTATAAAATTTTAATAAGAAAACACTAAATTAAAAATTATACACGATTTGTTATTTCTCTTGTTTGTTTATATATATATATATATATTTGGTTGGATAGATGTGAGTTTGTGACCCTGGACGATCGCTAAAGCGTAAAACCCAGGATCACAAACTCACATCTATCCAACCAAATATGTTAGCTCTATCTCTGATATTGAGCGCTTTCTAATAAAGTACCATGCGCATATAATATATAAATAATTATACATATATATATTTATTTATATTTATATACACTTTTAATATATATATATATATATATATATATATATTTTATAAGAAAAAGTCCACGTCTGCTTCTAGCAATAAAAATTTTGTTGCCATTAATTAACCCATTGAGGTTGATATGCCGTAAAACAAAAGAAACCAATCAAACCAAACCACATGTGCTTCTTGTAGTATATATATATATATATATATATATATATATATATATATATATATATATATATATATATATATATAGAAATTTATTCTTAAGGTGTGCTATATTTATGGGAAAAAGATCGTACATATAATTTTTTACTTAAGGACTTAATTGAGCAAATGAGGTATTTTAGGACTGTGGTGTGAGTTAAATGTAAATTGATGTTAGAGATACGCTAAAACCGTTGGCGTACGTCAAAGATGAATCAGAGATAGAGCGTGTATGAATATAAAAGTGAACATTGAAGTCAACAGTTAGAGGCGACAGGCTAGATGCAATCATCATGACGATTGCATCTAGCATGAAACAGCCTGTCGCCTCTAAGTGTTGACTTCAATATTCACTGTTATATATATATATATATATATATATATATATATATATATATATATAATTTTTATTTAAAATTATAACATAAATATGTTATAAATCACTACAAAATAGCCATTTGTTTCAACACTTCTGGTGTCTTATCAAGTGATGATGCTGAAATTCATCATCATCACTTGATAAAACACCAGAGCTGTTGAAACAAAATGGCTATTTTTATAGTGATTTTATAACATATTTATGTTATAATTTTAAATAAATAATTTTATTTGCTCTATGTGTATTGAGCACTCTTTTTAGAATAGTAATTTTTGGTTATAGGAATTTAATCCGTATACAACAACCTTATACTTGGGTATATATATATATATATATATATATATATATATATCAACAGTATGTTTCATGCTTAAATGCAATCGTCATTCTATGTATGTTGCGCTTTGGCTCGACTATTTAGTTATGCTGTTTAGTGGTGCATTATGAATAGGTCTATTGTCTTATTCGAACGGTTATTAGGCTGGCGGTAACAGTTATGCTTCAAAGTATTCTTGAGGCTATTGAGTGGAAATAATTGTGCATCCGAATGTAGTTTTGTGACTTTCAGAACAATGTAATACAACAAACAGCAGATAACGACGACACAAATAACAACAAAAGGACCCTGTAAACAAAAAAAAAAACTACGCACGCAAGACATCCTTCACAGATAATAAAATACGCGAACAGCCCTATGCTTTTTAAACATATATGGGAAATTAAAAACCCAAACCAAATAACATAAAAATATCATAGAAAATAAGGAAAACAGAATCAGCCTACAATAAATTGAAAAACTTTAAACTCTGGAGGATGTAATATCTATAGTTAACTTTTGCTGAAGACATTAGGTTTATAATACCCAGAAATTCATACACAGATGTCCTCATGGCACAGTGGATAAAGGTGTTAGTTAGATCCAGTGACAGGACCCAAAGAGTGTGAGTTCAATACCCGGTTAAGGCAGTGGAGAACTTTCAGACGGAAATTAACAGGAGATAACTAATAACTGACATCCATTAAACATGGCACGTGGAACTAGAACAGTCTACCCCAGTGAGCGAAATAAATGGTTCAGTTCGACATTCCAACCACCTGAAGAAGGCCGGAGAGTACAACGGCCGAAACGTTGTAATAAATATGGCGACAATGATGAGGAATAATGTAAATAGTGAACAAATAATGAAATAATTCATAATAAATAATGAGTCAGAAAATTTAACAAACAACATTATAAAATATCGATCCACAATTATCTCTACTCAATACCCCCCACCCCAGAATAATTTGAAATATAACGGTTACCACTCACCCAAGAAGCATTAAAATAATACAATAGACCTACCATAATACACTACGGACGAGCATATATAAATAGTCGAACCAAAAACTCAACGCATAGCCTGGAGATTGCGTTTAAGCATGAAACAGACAATCACCGCTGAGTGTTGACTTCAATGTCTACTTTTATAATATTACAGCATAACTTCGTAATAACACTGGGAGCGCATATTTTAAAGAATAAACGGATCGTCTACTCAAGCACGAGTATTCTCAAAAATAACGTTTAAGTAATAAAAATCTGACGGATTAATAAATAAAATATCCATATATATATATATATATATATATATATATATATATATATATATATATGCATCTTCATATAAATCCGCTCTGCACATGCCGTCCTGGGTAAGACGATAAACTACATCCGCGTCCTGGGTAAGATCATAAACTACGTCCAACAGCCGATCAGCTGACCCGGGGTGGTAGCATCATTCAGAGTCCTAGATATAGGCAAATAGTTAATTCCAAAACTGGGGCAAAAACACTATGAAAGTGTAAAAATAGGTTTTAATACCAGAAATACTTTGTAAATAAATTTTTGAAGAAAAAATATTACCAGCAATACATTTTGGAAAAAAAAAATTACCTGCAATAAATCATTGAAAAATATTACCAGCAATACATTTTGGAAAAAAAAATTACCTGCAATAAATCATTGAAAAAATATTACCAGCAATACATTTTGGAAAAAAAAAATTACCTGCAATAAATCATTGAAAAAATATTACCAGCAATACATTTTGGAAAAAAAAAATTACCTGCAATAAATCATTGAAAAAATATTACCAGCTATACATTTTTGAGGAAAAACATTGTACCAACAATACTTTTTTTTAAAAAAAAAAAAAAAAAAGAAAAAAAATTATTACCGACAATACATTTTTGAGAAAGTATATTACCAGCAATACATTTTTTGAGGAAAAAATATTACCAGAAATAGATTTTTGACAAAACAAAATATTACCAGGAAAAAATAATTGTCGGCATTAAATAGCCCACTGAGGTTGTAATGCCGTAAAACAAAAACTAAACCAAACCAATATAGATAGATAGATAGATAGATAGATAGATAGATAGATAGATAGATAGATAGATAGATAGATAAAAATATTAGCAGCAATAAAAAAAAAACAAAAACTTGTCGGCATTGAATAAACCATTGAGGTTGATATGCCGTAAAACTAACCAAACCAAACCAAACCAAAACTAACAAAACAAACCAAACCGCTCTGTCCATGATATTGAGCACTTTAACCCGTGGCATTCCTTAAATTAATTTGGTTTGGCCTGTTTCGTTTTACGGCATATCAACCTCAGGGGGTTATTTAATGCCGACAAAATTTTTATTGCTGGTAATATATTTTTTCAATAATGCATTGCTGGTAATGATTTTTTACAAGACTATATTGCTGGTACTAAAACCTATTTCTACACTTTTATGTGGTTATGACCCCATTTTGGGGGTTAACTATTTGCCCATAATTAAGACCCTAACAGATGCTACAACCCCACGTCAACAATT